GACTCAGTTCCTATCCAACTAGTATCTAAATGTCTCAGAGACTAGAGCTAACATTCTGTAGAGTTCTTTCCTCATATTAATTCTGGGGGAGCACATCTGCCGCTGAATTTCCATTTCCACAGCCGAATCACCACTGCCTGCAGTTGGTTCCCTTGATGTCAGTGCTTCACCTGCCTGTATCACCACCCACTTTTCATTGCCCGGTGCCCCTAGTGCATAGCTTTTTCCACCTGGAGAGCATTTCCATCATTCATTGTATACTATCCTAATGATGACTGCTTGCACATACCTCTACTAGTCTACAAGATCTTCAAGGCAGATCTATTTCCTGCCAATGGTCTATGTAGAACTCTCTCAGTTGCCTACTCTGTCATACCAGAATAGCCTTGTCTTAGAATCCAAGGCACACTTGTTCTAATTGCACTACCACAGCACTTCTATTTAAGACATTTGTTTTAAAATCTTCTTCACAGAACCGATTACAATCATGGAGGTACAGGTTTGCATCAATAGCATGAGTCATTGTAATTTTTGTTTGTGTGTTGATTTTTCCAGGAAGAAAGTAATCATTATATACCTACCTTTCAAAAATATCATATGCCTTATATGTCAGTAAAAAGAGGCACATCTTCCTTGAAATATCTTTTTTCTTTTGACATTTATAGAAATTAAACTCATAGGAAGAAATTTAAAGTCAATAATTCTCAGTTTTTTCCCTTAACACCACTGCCAGCACAGATCTGAAATAGTATGCATCTAATATTACAAATTTCTAAAAGTTTTTCAATTTTATCTAGAACAAATTGTTAATTTAATATGCTTAACCAGAAATTTGAATGGTTTTACAATAGAAATTTAAAATTATTTCACTATATCACAATATTTCAGAGTGATTTCCATCACTGAATAATTTTTAAAGCTTCGAAATGTAATCATCTTTAGTTATTTAGAACGTATCTTATTCCAAAAAAGTTATTATTACAGATAAAAAGAGAACTTGAAAATAACTTGAGTAGAAATACTGTTGCTTAGTTTTAAAAGATGTTACTGTTTCCTTAAAAGTGGCATAAAAGGTGGCTTATAAAAGGTACAAAATGAAAATAATAATAGGATAAATGAAAATACTTGTTTACATTAGCTCCAAACTGGAAATAGGAGCTAGGACACTAGCTTTCTAAATCTTTTTTTGTATACTCTGGTTTCTCTTCAGACCGTATAAATCTTTAGCCTTTTAAATCTTTTTTTGTTATTATAGAGTATAACTGCTTAATTCTGCCACTGGGTTTTAAACTATTTAATTGCTGCCATAAAGCAAAACTAAACATTATTACATGGTAGCAAGTATAAACATACAGATTAAGGAATACCTAGAAAGGATGCTTTTATATTTGTGTAATATTTTGGTGAGGAGACAACCTAAAAATGTCTTAACAAAGATCCTAAAGATAGGTACTACTTATAAAAATGTAGTTAATCAGACTAAAAACATGAGAAATTCAGCAAATAACTGGTACTTTCTGTTAGAATAGAGAAGCAAAGATAATCATCAAAATAATCATGCCAGAGATTTGCTTTAAAAAACAAAAACAAAACTCTTAAGGGACAGTAGTTGAGACACATTTGGCCAAACTTCATCTACCATTTTTTTCTAGCCTTCGACTACAATGCACTATTAATCACTGATGTTTAGATATGAAACCTGTAAGATATGCAGTCATCAGAGAGAGATGGTTAACCAGTTTCAACACAAAGAGCTAACGTGACTGTTTTATTTAAACAAATATACCAAATCTTATTATTTAATACAAAGGGGTGCTTCCCCCTTAAAGCAGTCACACTGGGACCTAGAGTATATTTTTATCCTATGGTATCACTCATTAAAACACCTGGAATTCCTCTTTTGAAACTTTCTGCCTTAAGATACTATACCTCATTCTTCTGGATATTCACAAAATAAGAAATCTTCCTCCTTACAGAGTTAGTTTACTTTTTGGAAGCAAACACAATTCATTTGTTATAGTGTTGTGAAAATAGTAATAAGGTTGGATAAAAAGATTTTGAATTTAAAAAATTTAAATATGATAGTTTTTCAAATAAAATGGATTTGAATTGCAAAAATTTGAAGTTTCCGAAGTGCAACATAATTAAGATATTTTAGGTTTTTATATATTTCAAAATCAATCTTTTGAATTCATAATCTTCATTCATTAGTGCATTTTTTTAATCCAACAAATATTTGCACCTACTATATATCTGCCATTGTGCTAATCAGACCTTGTTCTTATTATCAGGAGCTTATAAGCTTAGGAGGAGACAGACAATTACACACATGTATTTACCAGCGTGATAAAAGTTAGAAAGGGGAAGAGGAAAATGTACTTTGGAGGGTCACATAAAGTTTCCTAGAAGTAACATTTAAGGTGAGACCTGAAGAAAGAAGTGGTGATAAGGGGGCAAAAAAGAATGAAAAAGCAAAGCGACAGAATTAAAGTAATACAAACTAAAAGAATTAAAAATTAAAGAGCCTCGGGTGGGCAGGAGAGTGACAGAATACTAGAACTATTAAGAAAAGAGGGGGAGGAGGGAGAAGGGGACGGGTATTTGCATACACAAAGAGTACAATGCGCACCACCCAAAGGATGGACATATTTGAAACTCAGACTTAGGAGGGGAGGCGGGGGGGGCAAGGGCAACATACATAACCTAAACATCTGTACCCCCATAATATGCTGAAATAAAAAAAAAAAGAAAAGCCAACGTGGCTGAATCACAGTGATGCCAACGTGTGGCATGAGATGATTTTATCACAGGATCAATATGAAGTCAAAGAGTTTTGAGAAAGTAAGCATATGATCAACAGATTGACTATTTTAAATAGACAACTCTGGCAGTTCTCTTGAGAAAATGAAATGGACAAGAGATAGGGCAGGAGAAAATTCCTTCTGGAGTAGCACAAGTAAAAGGTTGGGCAGTGTGGACAGTAGTGGAGAAGAAACGTGGACAGACTCAAAATATGTTTCAAAGTTAAACACTGCCAGGATTTGATAAAAGCCAATCAAAAGGGGGCAAGGAAGGAGGATATACCACACATGGCTCCCAGATTTCTGGCCTAGGCATTGCAATGATGCAATGAGACAGGTAACACTGGATGTGGATTAAATTTGAGGGAAGGAGTGGAAGAGAGACAGGGGAGAAGTGCGAGTTCAACTGCGAATATGTAAGACACTGGGCAAGGACACTTGCTAATAACATGTTATTAGACAGTATTTGCAGAAAGGAAATTCCACACCTCTTAACTTGTCTAACAACCTTATTGACTTTGTATGTTAAACTCTTGTCTTCTAATTTAAGTCCCTCTTTTATATTTTTCCTGTATCATAGAAAAAACAATCGACCACCTCCTTAGGTATATAGTTATGGTATCAGCACCAGTAAGCTCTGTGTAAGAATTTATGGTTTCTTTAACTCTTGCATAAATTCTATTGTAGTACCTACCATGTTATATTGGAATGTTGTTTTCAGTTTTAAAATAGCCCTAAAGGGACAGGTCTGTTTTCTTCCTTTGTATACATAGTGCTTAGCAGTGCCTGGCATGAGGTCAGTAAAAGTTGGCTGAACTGAACCCGAGCATTATGATGACATGTTTTGCTTATGGCTAAAATAAATGTCATGTCATTTATAGAATTAACGAGCATCTTAAATCTAAAGTAGCTTGTGCTATTATATTTCAAATAAGTGTATCAAGTTCCTGGAAGACAAACTGACAGAAGTCAATGTAGCTTATATTTGCTTCTCTATTTTCTAAATAGGCTTGGATAGTTTTAAAGGACACTAAAATGGAATAAATTATACAACCTTCACGTTAGCATTCACTGAAGGTGATGAATATGAATCAATGGTGCCATTACATATGAAATGTCAACTGATTTTTAGTATCATTTCATCTGAATAATAATTTGACTACTGTAAGAAGCCCATATAATTCATTTTCAAGATCAAGTTCTAATATATGGTTGCCAATCACATATAGCCATTAAGTTAACATGGTTTTAAACATCATTTTGAAAATGGAGCCATAAAATAATAATTTCTTTCATTGTGAAATCACTACCGGTGATTATTCAACTAGATAAGATTAGACACTTTGTTTAACAAAATAAAATTTAAGGCAAAACGCATCAGTAGATACAAAGAGGGCTGTTACTCAATAATAAAAGGAACAATTTACAAGCAAATTTTAACAATACTTAATGCACCTAACAGTATAACTTCAAAATACATAGAGCAGGAAGTTCAGGAAAAATGGCGGATTAGGAGTGACCTCCTTGCTCTCTGCTCCCAGAGTAGGAGGTCAAGAACGCGGACAGCCACACGCGAGTGAGGCGCTCTCCCACAGGATCAGCTTCCTGAATCTGCAGAGAAGCAGCGAGAGACAAGCGGTGCTGCAGAAAAAAAAAGGTGAACCGGAGAATCGACCACAAGTTCTGGAGAGTGCGTGACAAACAGCGGGGAGTGCAGCGAGGGATGGCCCCGCCTGTCGGCGGGCTGGCCGGGGCAGTGTGAGGACTCTCCCTCCACCAACCCCCACGCCCACGCAGGCAGGGAAGCGCCTGAAGTCAGTGTGAAGTGGTAGCACAGGCCGACAGGAGGTGGGGAGTGGAGACACGAGCGGGAAACATTTTGAACTCTCCTCTGCACGGTGATAGAGGTCTGCTCCGGGTGGGGAGGGACTATTCCGAGCAGACACTTCCCAGTTCGGACACTTCCCGAGCCCACAGGGGAGAGTTTGGAGACAGACTTCTGGCCTCAGGAGACTGCCAGGACCAGATCCGGGGAGGTGAACACCATAAAGGAGGCTTTGCCCTTGGAAATCGCCAAATATTTGGCCGGCACAGAGTCCTCCGGCTGATCTGTCGAGACTCAGTGTGTTAGGGAAGCAGTGGACTCAGCGGGCGGCTCTAGGAGACAGCGGTGACAAACCCAGCTCCCGATACCCTCACCCCAGCTCCCGATACCCGCCCGGGTGGAGTCGTCTCCAGCGCTGACTCTCAGTGGGTGGGCAGCCACCATTTTGGGAGTCCATATCCTAAAACTACTGGGGCCTGTTGCCCAGGCAACGGTCTGAGTCAGCGCCTCTGCCTCTGCCAGGCAGAGCTGGTCACACCCTTCGAGGAGGACAGTAACGCGAGAAGCCACTTTCTCTCCCAAATCTGCAGACAGTCTGTCCCATCCGGGGACTCAAGCTCCGCCTTCAAAAGGGCGGAAAAGGGAGGATCTGGGGCGGCCTCGTTCCATTCAGCCGCAGGCGCTGTGCGTCAAAAAGACGGTGAACTAAAGGAGACCGCTTGTGGAGCGGTGATCCGGGACGACATAACCACCCCCTCTCCCAGGCGACTCGACCCCCCCCACCAACGCCTCGCGCCAAAAGGACTGTCTCTGCCCCTGGGTGGAGTAAAGGGGTTGCTTTTTTTTCTCTTTTCCGTTCTTTTTCCTTTTTTGTCCCTTCCCCTGCCCCCCTTTTTTCCCTTTTCTTTCTTTTTCCTTTTTACTCTTTTTCAGTGTGTGTGTATGTGTGTGTGTATCTCTGAAACCCACGACCATGGCAGCCCATTTGTTGCATCTCCACAGCGGGGCTATTTTGCACCAAAGAGACAGCACGCACCCTTAAGAGTGTCTAGTAACCAAGGAGGCCGCTCTTCAAGCTGAGACACGTGGTCACCTCTTTACTGCGACTTGGTAGCCGGAGCTGCCTGCCAAACAGACAGACTCCACAACGGGAAGGGCCGAGTAGAGAGTGAAGGAGGCTGTTTTCCCAGCTGGGTCCTGCAGCCTCCTCTTCACTGTGACTTGGTAACTGGTGCCTCCTTTCAAAGAAACAGTCCCCCACCCTTGGTAGTGTGGAGGAACAAGGGAAGCTGTTCTCTGGGCTGTGACCCCGCAGGGGTGGTGGATGGCCCTTGGCTGCGATCAGAACACTGATTTTGCGTACCAAAGGGACTGACCCCCACATCTGCTGGGAGGAGTAGCGGGACAGGCTGCTTTCTGGTCTGGGTCCCTCAGTGGCCTTAGGCAGGGCTTCTCTAGCAGCCCTAAAGTGTGCTCTTCATATCAACTAGACAAACCCTGACCTAGAAGGGGTGGAATAACAAGGTTAGCCACTTCCTGAGCTGAGATGCCTGGTAGCCCCAGGAAGTGCCCTTCCCCAGTCAGGTGGGCTATCTCCCCTCTGACAGGGCAAAACCCACACTTGGAGGAGGAAAGAAAGGAGAGAAGACGTTTTCTGGGCCGGGCCTTGTGGCAGTCTCAGCCAACACCCCTCCCACAGCCCTCCAGGACAGATTCCATCCCTGAAGGAAGGGAGAAAGGAGAAAAAACGCTTTCCCCATAGGACTACCTGAATCTGTACGGCCTTGGATTTAAGCAAAAGGGGACAGTTTGTTGACGTGGTACAACTGATCAGTTTTGATCATCTGATAAGACCATAACATAAAAGTTTGCCCTTGGTGCCCAGGCTCTTGTCATCATAGGGGCTTGTGGTCTGGGAAGGAAAATCTCGTCCAGAGTCCTTAGCAATTGCACCAACTGACACACCCATCAGGAGTTGTTCTGCAAGAGTGCCTAAAGAGCCCTGAATAACATACTAGCAGCTCTTTCCTAGCTGCAGATCAAGCAATTTCTGAAGTATACTATCATAGGCATGCCGATTCCTGCTGCTCTTCTCACCTCATCTAAAGTGGTAACAAGGCTCAAGTAACCGTTGGGAGTGGTAAGACATTCCCCAAAGACTCAGGCTCTTGTATGTCCCATTTGGGGGTTTAGAGCTCAATACAAAAGTACTGGAATACCTTAATAACCGACTTCTCCACGCAAAATACAAGCAACAAAAGAGAGAGTAACCTCATAGCTCAACTCAGCGCCTTCTACCTCAACCAAGTGGTCAATAGCGGAGTCACACACACAAAAGTGACCCAACTCCTGGGAATCTAAGCAAGGGAAAGAAACTCACTAACCTCCATAAGCAGAAGGTGAAGACAATGGGCCAGAGAAAACCCAACAGGCTAAAACCCCACTAAGACAACACAGGACCAGAGCACATCACCTCAGCTCTGCCAAGGAACATCCTCTTTGGAGTCCCAAAATTAAGTCCATAAACCAGTCCCAGCACCTCGAATCCTTGACAAAATAGCCTGATGAGAAAGAATCAGTGAAAGAACACAGGAAACATGAAAGATCAGAGAGAAAAGTCAACTCCAAAAGAAAATATTCCATCTCCATCAATTGATACCAACGTACATGATATGATTAAACTGACAGAGGAAGAATTCTGATTATGGATTGTAAGGAAGCTCAATGGAATTGAAGAGAAAATAGAATCCCAACATAAAGAAACCATAAGAACAATCCAGAAAATGAATGAAAAATTCTCCAAAGAAATTGAAATACTATGGAAAAACCAAACAGAAATCTTGTCAATGAAGGAGGAGTTCAAGGAACTTCAAAACACAGTGGAAAGCCTCAAGAACAGAATGGATCATGCAGAGGAAAGAATCTCAGAGCTTGAAGATAATGTCTACGTGCTGAACAAATCAGATGAAGAAAAA